TAAGTTTTCGGGGTCGTTACAAGTTAAACAATTAACTTAATCTTCTTCTTTTTCACTGAAAAAGATGCAGGCGAGCGTTTCATCAACATCTTCTTCCGGGTAGCATTGACGGCAGGCTCTATTGTCTTCCACGAGCCACTGACACTGGTTCATGAAGAAGGTATCCCCTCCTTCCCCTCTGTCTTTGATCCGTGAAGAAGAAGACAAACTAAAAATGAAATACATCCCCCAACCTCTAACATATGTAGAAAACATAAGACACACGAAAAAAGAGTATGCACCTAAATATCCATTAAAAATATTAAATAACATTAAGAGAAAAATCTGTAAGTAATGTTAAGCTCAAATACTCCTCAGCATATTTGTTCTGAAAGTCAAGTTTTTACCTTTAAATTTTAAGTCTATATACTCTTAGTCAAACTTTGAGCGAAGATATCAACTAATTAATTTTAATTTTATTTATCTTTTAATTTATCTCACAAAATAATATTTAATCTTTTATATTTTATTGATAAATAGGAATTATGTAACTTTCATATAATAAAAATTGATAACTTAGATTAAACTATTTATAAATCATTATTTTTGTTACTATGTTTAATACATTAAACTTTTTTTTCTTTTACATTTGACCAACGAGAACAACAAAAAAACACGACGACAAGCTGCATATAATGTACATTTATATTTTATGTTTGTTTATGAGTAGCTAATTGTACTTGAGATGATAGGATTTTTTTTTAGAGAATATGAAAGTTGTAAAGAGAATATTAAAGTTGTAAATTTTAGGATTTGATTGAAAAAATTTTGAGGTTTTGAAAATTAAAATAATTTACGATAAAAATAAATATATATTCACGTGAGTATCAAATTAATGAAATTATGATACCCGTCAATAATAAGTAGTAATATAAAATAAAAAAATATATATATATATAATTTATTTCAATAAAAAAAAAAAATTAAAGTAGATATGTGTTTTATGTGAGATACAAAACTTTAAAACTCAAATTATCCCTTAATATTTGATGTGCAGGTAAATAGATGAAGATGAAGAACAAAAACTATGCACGTCCCAGCACGTGCGAATATCTATTTATAATCGGCGTCTTTCGTACGCAATTACGAAGATATTTTTGGGGACAGAAATGAATCGGCATCGTCTACATTCCTCATCCAACGGTGGAAAAAAGGTCTTACATGACAGCTTAACAAAACCCTAGCTTCCCTAAAATAAATACTTTAAATTGTTTCATCCTCTCTCTCTCTCTCTCTCTCTCTCTCTTCTCTCTCTCTCTCTCCTTTAATTCTCTCCCTCTGCATTTCTTTTCGAAGCTCTCTCTCTCTCTCTCTCTCTCTCTCTCTCTACGGCCATGTCGGACGAAGAGCACCACTTTGAGTCGAAGGCCGACGCTGGAGCTTCGAAAACGTATCCGCAGCAAGCAGGTACCATCCGCAAGAACGGTTACATTGTCATCAAAAATCGTCCGTGCAAGGTGTGCTCCGATTCCTGTGCTTTAGTACTCCTTGGATCTTTTTTATTAGGGTTTTTCCGGATCTGTGTCTGTCCGTCGTTGTATCTGGCGTTTAATTTGATTTATTTTGGTCATTCGCTGCTGTTTCTGGATTCTGATTTTGTTTGTTTTTTTGGTTTTGTTGTTTCTCTTTTGATCTGAATTGCTTATGATTTCGTGTTTATTGTTCCTTTTATGTGATGTGGGTTTTGGGCTGCTTTGTTGTGAGATTTCATAAGTTCTGATGGTATTTATCGGTTGCAGTTATAACCAGCTGTTTCTTTTTGTGTCGCTGATATCCTGTTTAACATTTCTGGAATACATTTCCCCGTAACGATCGGCTATATTTACTTGTTGATTTCTGTTTGTTTAATTTGAGGGCTTTATGGAATTCAACTTTTAGATGCTGAGAGAGTTGTTCTGTTTTTAATCTCCAAAAACACCCAAGACATGGTATTTTATGTTACTGTGCTAAATTAGTGGTTTTATCATGGGTTAATAGTTTCGATGATGTATGAGGACCTGCTTGGTCTGCATAAAACAAAATCTAGATTTGCGTAGTAACATTAGCATAATTGGATAAAAAAATTTCTGGAAAGCTTGTAGATGTAGCATGCTATGAATTGGTCTGATCAAATATGTATGAAGAGATACATCAAAAAATAGAAGCGCAAGTATTTGACTTGTCACAAATACGGAACTATAGTGTAGGCCCTTGGATGCTGAAGGCAAAGCAATTATATTGGGGAAAGTTGTTTTATAGTTTTAATCTGAGGATCCTGTTAATTTTCATTTCATGTTTTGCGTTCTTTGTTGTGAGAAGTTAGGCTTTTTTGTTGTCCACTGTTGGTCTGTTAACATACAAAGAGGTCATTCTGGCTTCTTCAAAAGTGAGCCTCTTTCTGGGTTTCCTTCATTTTACTTGGCTCTTCTGATTAACTGTGGAGAGAGTTGCTTCTCTATGCTGATTCTGAACAATCCCTTCTTTCCTACAGGTTGTTGAGGTTTCAACTTCTAAGACTGGAAAGCATGGTCATGCTAAATGTCATTTTGTTGGGATTGACATCTTCACTGCTAAGAAATTTGAAGATATTGTTCCCTCTTCCCACAACTGTGATGTAAGTTATTATAATTTTTCTTAATATATGTACTTGCAGTTTCTTACAGCAGATATTTTTACCAAGTTCTCTGAATGAGTTACTTCAGTTGTGGTAAGATGATCTATGTTTCTCATTATATTACAGGTTCCTCATGTGACTCGTACTGACTACCAGCTGATTGATATCTCTGAGGATGGATTTGTATGAATCTGTTACCCCTTTCTTGGCTCAGGCAAGCCAAATATATATTTCTGCTCTCTCTCTAAAAAGATATAATGATCTGCTGAGTTTTAGGTGAGCCTGCTGACTGAGAATGGAAACACTAAGGATGACCTGAGGCTTCCAACCGATGAAAATCTGCTCACACAGGTTAGTTGACTTCATTTCCCTTGCCAGTAGGGTATCGAGCTATGAAAAGGTCTGATAAATTATGTTTAGTGTCTGTTATTGTTACAGTTGAGGGTGGGGGGGTTTGTTTGCATACTTCAAATACCAGATGATGGTCTGTTGTTGAGTTTTGGTGGACTTCTATATGTTGGTTTCTTTTTTTTTTTTTTTGGTGGACTTCAAAATATAATGTAATTTCCTATGCAGATCAAGGATGGATTCGCTGAGGGGAAAGATCTGGTTGTGACTGTCATGTCATCAATGGGAGAGGAGCAGATCTGTGCCCTGAAGGACATTGGCCCCAAATAGATTCTTCTTTCGTTTTAAGGGCCTTGAAGTCTGAAGTGAGGCAGATATTAGTTTTATTGAGAGGTTTTTTTTTTTTTTTTTTTTTTTCTCTTTTTAAATGTTGGTTTGCCAAGCGGAGGCCACTGTTTCTGGGACAGTGTGTATGAGATGTGGTTTCCCTCTATATATGACTTTGCAATTATTAACTAGCCGTCATAATCCATATTTTTTGTTACATTTTCCCCCATCGTGGTGTATTCACCATAAGTTACATGACTGTACATGCACTCCTTTTCTCCTTTTCCTATTTTAAAAAAACCCCATCATCCTTTGCCCTTTGGGTGATTTTTTAGAACTCATTGGCCACAGAATGTTCGTGGGTAAGCTGGGATTGGATCAATTGATTTGTGGCAATGAATGGTTCTGGAGCGTTTTCTCGTTTCTTCTTCTTGTCTGGGATCTAATTGGTTATGTTAGGAACAATTTAAAAAAAATAAAAATATTAAATTGTAAATTCATGTTGAATTTTATTAGTTTAAATTGTATCAGGATAACCAAAATTTTATGAAAGATAAGAATTTAGGATATGTTGCTGTAAATTATATGGAATTTTTGTAGTTTAATTTTTGTCATTTTAAATAGATTTTTTAAAATTATTTTGGAAGGTAAAGATTTATTTTTAAAGATATAAGCTTAAAAAACTTTGATTTTGTTTCAATTATTACTTAGTTGAAAGGTCTATATTGATTGTAGCTGTACTTTCATGTCTTTGTTGTTTGAAGATTATGTTTTGTCGTATTATAAATTGATTTTTACTTAAAAAAATGTTAATGTTGACTTCCAGCATTTAGATAGCTTGTGAAGCTTATTGGGGAAAGATGCTTTTGATAGCCTACATATACATATATATATATATATATAAAGATACAAAAATTCTGGTGGGGTGGCAACATTATTTTAAGATTAGTTTTCAAACTTTTTCAGTACGTGCAATATATTGATGAGAAATCTAATGAAGATAGGAAAAGACAGTAAAAGATATCTCTGTACTCTATATATTTAGGATAAAATTGAGGAAATTATGATCTAAATCATCAAAAGTTGGTGTTGGAACACAAATATACTTGGAAAAAAATTAGCATGAATGAGAGGTGGCAATATTTTTATTAAACTCATGAGTCCTAGAGTTTTTCTATTCATAACACAATATTTTTAGAACTAATCAAAATTTTAAAGTTTTTTATTTTGTATTGTTTATTGGTGTAACTTGAAACACATGTAAAAAGTATATTGAAATGCAGAGGAAATAATGGAACCATTATTATCTATGCTTCAATGATGGACTCTAAAAAGATTCCACCGGTGAGATGATGACCAATTAAGCTCATCAGAAATGCATTCAATATAGTTAGAAATTGAGTTCAATAAAAGAAAGTGATAGTTTGAGACAGGTGCCTTGGGGAACTTGGACGTAAAGTGGTATACATGGTGGTTGTTAGTTCATCTATTAATTAATATGCCAGATTAAATCCTAATAACAACTATAATTTGATTCGACAACTTACTCAGAGAGCATGTTATTACTTAACCAGGGTCTAAGATCGCTAAGAAAGAAATCAACACAGTAATTGAAGGGAGCATATGATACCATACTTGTCTAGCAACAATACAATTTCTAAGAACATATAAGACAGTTTTTGAATACATACGTCAAACAATGCAAGCATCACTGGAAGTTAAGTGTCTTCTTATTCTTTCATGATTGGTCATCAAACAATCACTCATAGCTAGCTGTAGAAACGTGCATATGCTAGAAGGACCCTTTCACTTCCATACTTGTCTCCAGTCAAGGCTCCTATCGCTCTAATTCTCAATATGTAAGGCCTCATAAGTTGAACTAATATTAAATTCTCCATGTAGGCATAAACACCCAATAAAAATCATCATCTCCACCATTAATTGCCGATGAAACCATTGCAGCTATCTTACACAGCACATAGTATGGGAGAAGAACAATGAATTCTTCCCAATTCCAGCTATCATTATGAAGAACAAAAGATGCAACCTTTTTATACAAATAGCTCTCTAGAACTTCTTGATATGAGTATTTAATAAACTCATCTAATCCATCTACCCATTTATCAAGCCAAAACCTGACATAAAGG